TCAAGTAAGATGCAGGCTCAAAAGCAACTGGGAAAAAAAAGACCCAAAATATAACACACTTGATGGACCAGCTGACAAAAAAAAAGGGCCTGAGACAGCTTATCCCAAAGTGGCTTTCTGAGAAGCCAATAGAATAAAATAAGGCACAGGAAAAGGAGCATCTAAATTCTCTCTAGAATGTCATGGATTGCAATCAACTGCAGCCTCAGAGCCCCTGGAGGAACACCAATGAACCAAATATATATCTCCATCTCACTACGAATAAGATCATTGACAGACTCAACTGAGAGTGACTCTTCCCCCCTTTCCCAATTGTTGAACAACACTAGATATCAGAGGTGGGATAGGAGAGACCTGATATTGCTCCATGCGAGAAACAATAATCCGAGAATTCATGCCATATATCAGCCTGCCAAACTAAAACAAAAAATTTGTTATGAAAATCAACTAGGTACCACTAAGAACACTCAAAGTATCTCCTAACGATTCTAGCACAGAGAAACCCGTTAATGAATGTTTTGTCAAAAAAAACTGATAATATTATCTGATTGAGGTGCTTACATACAGAACCAGGATAGAGGGCACATTGACATAGGTGCAGAGTGGCATAAGACAATTATCGCCAAGGGCAATTAAGTGGGGAATAAAAGACTGGAACAAGCGAGAAAAAATCAGACCAACACTTAGATGGGAAAAGGAAGAAACCCTGGCAGTCGAGTAATAGCTGTAGTTTGAGATAAGGTAAATATGTTTTAGAAAGCAAGTTTCCCAGCTGTATTGTAAATAAGAGACAGAAAAATAATTTATATTAATTTATATTATCAACTGGGTTTTAAAGTAACTGAACCATCCTATGTGAACTTTTGACAAAAAAAAAGACAATTATTTAAAGCTCTGGATACAACTGTGATAACCAAAAGTTAGTTAAAGTAAGTTAGAAAAAGTTAACCCTTTCTCAACGGGAGTCGCTTTAAAAGCTATTTCTGCACAAGTCACTGTATTACATTTAAAATTTAAACACCTTTAATATCAATGTATGTGAATGACATTATAATGTCTGTCATAATTCAAGGTTTTATTTTATCCAAGTTTTAAGTCCTTTATTTCAAAATAAACCTTTAAAAACTACTTAAAACTTCAGATGTATTGTCGCATGATCAACGAGCTATGAAAAATTCTCTACTTTGAAACTCTATATCTTCAGTAATACAATGGCAGTACTGCAGAGGTATTTCTAAACAATGAGATGCTTAGATAACCTTTTGACCAATTCATTTCAAAGTTCTCTGAAAGAAATAAAGTGGAAACAAGCAATAATTGATTGTAGCAATTATTTCAAAGTAGCAATAATCTATATATACAGTATATATAATGTACAATGATTCAAATGTAACTGTATTTTACAAAACACTAGTCTACTAAAACACAGCCAAGACAAGTTACTTTGTATGGACCAAAGTCAGCTTTATATTATTGGATACATCATTGTATTGTTAACCAGGCATGGCTGAACGATCAATATAATAAAAATAATAAATATCTACAAATGTATAATTTTATGAGATTTAAGCTATTTAGTCTAAACATTTATGTTTCATGTTATAATCTGTAGTCATCCTAGAACAAAAAAAGCATAATTTTTTTAAGGTGGTTATAAGATTGACTAAACCAAACCCGTAAATAAACTAAGTATATAAAGTTTTTTCTTAAGATATGTTTGATAACTATCTGGACATTATAAAACTTTTGCATGTGAAATTTGAAAATTTTCTGATGCACAAAAGTATTTTTAATTTTGAAATGAAAATTACATTGCATGTTGGATAGGCAATATGCGAAAAGAAAAAAAAGGCATGAGAAAAACATTACCTTACAAACCTTAAGACTATATAAAAATACTTTGATGATATTTTGTGTATGAAAGCATTGTAATGTTTACTGAGAATCTGCCAAACATTGTTAACATACACTTGCTAATTTAAAAGTTATAGTATGAAAATTATAACAAGCACAAAAAGGTTACAAGGTCTGTCCCAGATTTGTTTGAGCTTTATATCCTCCATGTAGATGTGTAGATAACATATGTATAGTCATTAGAAAGAGGTAATTTTACACTATAAACTAACAATGGTTATTTTGAAATTGGCACACAGTTGTCATCATGGATTATATGAAATTGGCCATAGTATGGTTGGCTGCTTGATAGGCTACAGCACTTACAGTTGTTTCTTATCTAAATATGTTATAGTTGGAGATACAGTTTAACATATATTTAGGTCTTAATATTATATTTTAGGTCATTATGTATTAGTTACGATTTAAAATGCATACATCATACTTTTCGTTCATTCTCAAGGCTTACGATATTACTCGCTGAATGAAAACTTTGCCAAAGGGTTGCGCATGCCTCCCAAAGAAACAGTAATAAGCCTCATGGGCACCGTTGACTTGTGTCAAGATGAATAATATGTTGTATAAGAAAAGAAAGGAAAATAAACATTACAGGTATGTAATTTTTTCTTCTATTTACTAATTTTAATTATTTCGTTGCATCATAGATTAATGATAAGAGCTAGAGTAACTACAATAGAAAAATAACATATTTTTAGTGAAAAATGTAATTATAGAACTGTCATTATTTGTGTACAAGATACTTATGATCTTTAATGAAATCTTACCAGTTTTTGAGAGGATACATTCAGAAATCTCAGAGTTACCACATGTATTGTTGTACAAATGAAATTCATGACTTGATTTCCACAAATTGCATGAGCCCATGGCAAAAGAGTAAAGTTAGTGGAAGTGAAGTTAGACTGCATGATTGTTAGTTTAGCCATAACAGGCGATATCTAACGTGAATTTCCAAGTGGTATTGTAACAACAGAGATAAAGAAGAAGAACTTGTCTTGTCAAATGTTGTTCTAAAGTAATTGAACCCACCTGTGTGGACTTTGACAAAAAAAAAGGAGACAATTATTTAAAGCTCTGGATACAACTGTGATAACCAATAGTTTAACAAGTTTTTGTACATACATATTACTTGTTCTGAATATATTATTTGAAAACAATAGGATTGTGTGCTGTCTGTTTATTGTTCGATTTATCACCAACAAGTCATAGACACCCACTGTAAAGAAACCTCAGCCCTATAAACCTGACACTCGTGTAAAAACTGGTGGGCGGTGCAAATCTAAAAGCAGACACATGGGGAAGATAGCTTTCTGTGTGAAAATGTGTGTACTGCCTCAGAAAGGAGAGTTCCATTTCTGAATTAATCCCTCTCTGTCTTTTTATAAAAGTTCCAAACCAATAGCAATAGTTTCAATTAATAAGATATTTCTGAAGAGTGAAGATACAACAAAACTAGTTAAAACCACATTATTGTTGCAATTAATTTCTCTAGTTTTGTTAAAAAAAGTAAAGCTATATTATTGATCTTTGAGAGAATGTAATAGCTGTTTGAAATAGTGATCTCACTATTCTCTATAGAGTAGACTATGAAAGAACTCTGAATAAAAGAGAACCTTTTAATCAATAAATCAAAAAGTGAAGAACTGTTGATGCTGTGAATATAGGCCTTGTGGTCTATTGAACAGATTTTTTTGTTGTTGTTGTTTTAGACTTTTTGAGAAAAATGTTTCTGGGTAGAAATATTTTCTATTTTCTATTTCATAAACATTCTAAAACTCTTAATTTTTTTTTAATTTGTTACTCATAATGTTGCTGCAAACACTCCCAAATTAGGAGTTAAACATGTCAAGAAAGAGCTACAGAGCACTTTCATGTTCAAGGCTTGTTTGTTATGATCTTGCCTTTACAGAATGACAAAATTATTTTTTATTAAGAGCTTTTAAGTTATAAATCAGTTGCTCGAAAAAACATACTACAAAAATATTCAGTCTTTCTGCTTGCAGATGCCATTTGCTAGTTTTGGAGAAAAAAATGTTTTTTAAAACATTCTAAACATTTTCTACTTTGTGAATCACTAATGTCAAGATGAATATGCAGTTGCCATTTGGCTTATTTTTTAAAATATGTTGTAATTCCCATTGATCTCTGTGAATGAAATATATTTACAACTAAATAATAAAAACATGTTTTTACTATTACTGGTTTATTTGAAACGTATTATAATTGCAATTAGAAATTATTAAGAACATTGAGTCATCAGAATATTTACCATCACATACCATACACCCTAAATCTAACTCAGCTTATCTAATACCTTTTAACTGAAGAAAATTTAACACCCAAACACTTTCAAGAACAAAATGTGCATCTAAGGGAACTATAAAAAAGTTCCCAGCTCTGTGATTTATTTCTAAGTCTTATAAACTTACCAATGAATGGCCTTGGTTAATGCTACAGGAGTTCCAACTAAAATCTTTCCCATAAACTACTGCTCAAACCACTTTATTTACTTGACTATGACATGAAAAATCATATCTACATTTTCATTATAGCTATTTCCAAAGCTGTGTTTCATCAGTAAATGATCAAACCACTTGATCTGACATCATAAAAGGATGGCAACCGAGTTATGCAAAAAAATTAAATAGCAAAAAGACGAGGGAAATGCTTTAAAAAAAGAAACGGGTAATATATTCTCCAAGTGTCATAGTTTCTCGGCAAATTTAAAGCTACTCTTTGAGATGGTCAGAAAAAAAAAAAAAAATTGCCAAGTGCCCAGTTTGCAGACAAGACTTCCCAGAGCTGCCCAGAAGTTCAAATTTGAGTATTTTTCATTTTTCTTCATGGAGCACACTAAATCAAAAATTTTTGAGTTTTATTTCATTTCAGCAATACATAAATACTGACTCCCACATGTACTAAAGCATGACAATTTGCCAATATAAAAAATTGACTTAAAAATTTGTGGCTTAAAAAAAACTAAGTGATGAACAAAATCTACTCATACAAACATATTTTAAATTCATATGGAACTATGAATAAAACTTACCTTGTACACTTTTCCAAATGCACCATCTCCAAGTTCTCCAACAATTTCCCAGTATTCCTTAGGGTTTTCATTAAATTTGATGTTGTGGTAGACACGCCTTCTTTTAATCTCACCACTGTTGACACTTCCTCCAAGATTAAAAATCTTTTTAAAATTATTAAAGAAAGACATTACGGTACTAATGAATCCACAGCTTCTCTTCCTAAATTAAATTATTTTGAATCCTATGAACATTGTACCCCAGAAAAAGGCAGATAACACCAAAACTCCAAGATATGTGTAAATACTAAATGTTCTAAGAGCTAGGAACCAATTAATTAAAAGTACTTTGAGTACAGTAAGGCACTAAAACCATACATCTCTTATCACAATTGTTTCATAACTAGTGTCTCTCACTAAGTAAGTGCAGTGGCACTTGCCAAAATCTACTACGCTTGAAAAACCTAACTCACTTTTTGGAAGCCTAAATACAAAGACCTCCCACTTACTATCTACAGTCATTCTAAAGTAGCAGTGTCATTTCAATCATGAATTCAGAGTTCCATGAATACAAAATGACAATATGTTTCAGAATGCAGCACTTTCTTCTTTTCAGCAAATGAAAAACTCAGTTATTCTATCCAGTCTTCAAGCTTTTCCTAGAATAAAATAGAATAAAATGTTATAGCCTAATAAAGATGTGTGGCACAAAATTGTCCAATTTTCACAAATGTAGAGAAAAGTTAATATATAAAAATAATCATGTTTGTATACAAGATAGCCAATTTCTTAGGGGTTCTTTTTCAGTATTAAAAAGCATTTAATGTTTCCACTAACAAAATATAGATTACATTATATTCTAACTGTATATATGTATAATGCAAGTTCCTATTAAATTGGTTTTCATGTACTATACCATATTATTTAGACTTATGTATTCACTAGTTGGTGTTTTCCTACTATTATAAAATTAAAGTGAGATATTCTTAATTTCACCTTAAACATCTAGATAATGTAATAGTAGATACAAATTTATTTTTCTTCTTCCTTCAGTAAATGACAGTCATGTACTAACTTGAAGGGGGGGGGGGGTCAAGATGGCACAAAAAGTATACTTTTATATTGTTGTTTTTTACAATTACTCCACCATATTTTGGCCAATTTAGATGGGACTTGGTACAAAGATACTTTTTTAGAACTCCCATACACATACATGCACTAATGTGGTATATGATAATTTTTGGTCATTTCAGGGAGGTCAAAAGGTTAAATAAACCCATAACTGCTTAGCCTTGTTTCAACCCATTTACATAGAATTTGGTACAAAGATACTTTTCTAAGGGGAACACACACTGACAAACAAAAATGTTTAATAATTATAGGAGGGTGAAGATGCCACAGAAAGCATAATTTTAGGTTTTTTTTACAATTACTCTGCCATATATTGGCTAATTTACATGGAATTTGGTACAAAGCTATGTTTTTACAGGTCCCAAACAGAGATAAAGACAATTTTGGAATTTTTGTCTTTTGCTCAATTTCTCAGTGAGGAAAGCACAATTTTGGGTTTTTTAAACTATTCATGTGTTTATCAGTCAACTTAATGGTCCCAAGCAGTGCTATAGACAGTTTTCAACTTTTCTGTGTTTATCACAATTATTCTGGTGTCAAAATTGGCCATGTTGGGATTGCATGGCATGTTATATTCACCCACAAATGTTGGCCTCTTTAATTATGCCACATATTTTGTATACCTCACTATAGAACTAGAGCTTAGCATACAAAAGATTCTCAGGTCTCAATGCCACTTTTGTCAATTTTTGTTTCACAGTGTCACTAACATACCTGTTCACTGGTTAAGTGTATTTTATTAAACTGAAATCACTCAACCATATTCAAATTTTGGTAAAGATGTTTAGTTTATTAATGAATGGGCAATTATATTGGTTACAATTAATAACACTTCACCAATTAGCTAGCCATCAACATAATTTACAGCAACAAGCAGTAAATTTATGTTAGTTTAAAAGAAAGCTTGATAACTATATGAATGATAAAGGCTGGCTTTAACATTTTTATTTTATGTTTTTGAAATTATTCATTTGATAGCTTTAGTTTAGTTTAGAGGAAATGGACCAGTAGATCCCTTGTTGTCTGTAAACATTATGTTATCTTAATGCATCAGTGAATGGGAACAGAATTGATGATAAGTGTCAAAGAAATTCAACACTGTAGCACAAGTTCTATCTGGTCACATGACCAACATAGATTAACCAGCCCATGCATGTACTTTGTTAATCTTGAGATACATAAACAGCCAATCCCACAGTGAAAATTAAGGCCATGCAAATGTATGAATAATGACAACAAATAGGGAATAATGAAGTTAGTATGTGATCATCAAGCGAAAGGAAAGAGAAATACTAAGTGTCTATCAGCTACCTATTACAATATGCTATATCAAACAGCTTAAGCAATCTTCTCTATTTGTAAAATATTTCCCTTCACCAGCAGTTCACAATTGTCAATTTCTCTAACTCCTTTACAAAAGAGGAATTTTTAGAAAAGAAGCTTTTCTAAAATACCTGACAATGCATTTCACACGATACTACTAAGTAAACTCAAGTATTATTTATTTATCTTCTAATAAAAGCCAATTTATATGCCTTTTAATTTTTTTCTACGTATTCAAAATTAACTGACTGAAGTAACTTTGATAGGCTATGTCAGCTTATTTATCAATTTCTGTGTGTGTTTGTATAACTTATGGCTGTTGAGTTATTATACAAACTCTAAAACATTTACACTGCAAGTTAAACTAAGTCATATAAATAAATCAAACAAAGGAAAGCTATCTAAAGTTTGAAAGACAGGTATTCTAAAATATTGTTGAGTTACATGGACATATTAGACTACCATATACATTATACATACATCACAATAAAGATAGTCACCATTATCTCTGACACAAATAATGTAAACAACTTTAAAAGGAAAGAATAGATAAGACATTTTATTTCTCAATATGTCATTAAAAGTTCGAACAGACAAATTAAATAAGATACTGTTCATTAAAAAGCATGTATGACAACTTGTTGCTGATATTTATTACATAGTACGCTGTGACTGAAAAACTATTACACATACCTACCTTACAGTTTTAGAAAAAAATTTAACTTCATATTTCTGAAATGTTTCAAGAAAATTTTTACCAAGTACCACAAAAATTAATTTTCTTCAAAAACATTGGTATGAATTTACTTTCATAAGATTTATCTGATTTAAACATGTGTACTTAAGTACACATTTTATCAGTACTTAATTTCATCAGAGAAGTTATTAAATATTAAACCTTATCAAAGATGATACACATACAGTAATGATAACATTACAGGCTGAAGGACTACTAAGCAAAGAATCACCTTAGTATTTTATAGTGACTTTGTATGCTACGTAGGTCTCAAGTGTAAAAAAAAAGAAATTTCTATGTACTGTAAAATGATACAAGTGTGCTTCTTGAAAAGCTTCAAGTACAAAAGGTTCAGCTGAGTATTGTTTTGTTAAACTACATATAGCAGAAACAAAATTTCAGTTTTATGTACCAAGTGCTAGAAAGGAACATTTTCATACAAGTTATACAAAGCTTATTTTATCTGAAAGGCAAAAGGCACAGATATAAAAAGACATGTTTAGTTGCCAGAAGACTACACAGTCATGTGTTGACTTAAAACATTATAAATTTCATTTGGCCACATAAATGCAATGTAGTTCTTTTCCAGACCATTAAAATACTCAGACGACATTTCATTTCTACTTATGTCATGACTAATTGGGATGAATTAGTATATTTACATGAAAACATGTTAAGTAGTTCAGGATTGTTATAGAGACCTCTCTATACATAGGCTTTAGGCTTCATGATTTATCAATGAGTGCAAGTTTATCAAAGTTATACTGAAGGAAATTTGAAAGGTAAATAATTGTGTGTTTTCAACTACATTAATAAAATTAAAATTTATTTACTTTAATAAAAATGAGCAAGCTTACAGAATGTTATTCTGCTTATCAAGGTCATTTCAGATCCTCAGTGATGAAATGCTAAACACCAACCTCTAAACCAGAAAACAATTAGTAGTATAAATTATCAGCATTACATCGTATAATGAGATAAACTTTCTTACTTTAACAGTTCTAAGAAATAAACAATTATGTTCAAAAACAAAGAAGCTAATCTATTAAATAAACTTACATTAGTTCCCTTATCAAGTTTAATTATTACCTTAAGTTAATTTGTACTAAGATTTCTTAGAACCTTATGTTATTTTCACTTATCTTAAATAGCTCGTTCTAAACAGTTATTTAAAAAGATTAGCATAAGAAAATGGAGAATACTTTCAGAGATGCAACCACGTGTTTCTAGTAAAACCATGAAAGCATACAAGGCAAGATGACCACTTCAACATAAAATTTTTAAATTAAACTTACATACATAGCCTTTCATTCCATATAAGCTTTCCAACAAAAGTTTAAAAACTTCAAACTACAAGTTTATATCACATCTTCAGCCAAACCATTCAAAACTTTTTAACTCAACCTCCCCCCCCCCCTAAAAAAAAATCACTGAAAAAACAGGCCTGCATTCAAGGTATCAAAGCTAATACCTTTTTCTCCAATAATTATATTAGTATCCTTTTCATTCCACCATTCATACATACAACAAAGGTATTTGTTGTTGAATACAGATGGGAACATATTCAATAACATGACCAAAGATCACCATATAGTGATAGAAAAGTCACAAAGTAGCTAGGCAGCACTCATGAAAGCTAACAGAATTTTAAGATTTATTTATAAGCATATTGATAATAAGTCAAAATAGGAAATTATCTCTCTATACAATCATATTGTGTGCAATTTTGGTGTCCTTAATTAAGAAAGAATAGGGATACTACAGGTAAGATATCCTAGAGATGGAAAGTTATCTTATAGGATTAGGTTCAGATCTTTCATTTTCTCTTGAGAAAAAAATGTGTGAAGGGTGGTCTTACTGAAGTTTACAATATTATCCAAGGGGGTCAATCAGATGAAAACTTCTGATTACTTTATACTATATTCTAAAGATAATACAATGAGAGGAAACAAGTTTAAGATTTGGAAAAGACAAGCTAAGCTACAGTAAAGACTGTTATTTTTCTAACAGGATGATTAAGTTAAAAATCAAGTTGCCATTTGCAGTAGTGTAGGTCAACATTTTTACAGGAGTTGAAGAGGAGTGAAGGGTGGGTGTTCAAGCATAGCTTTGCAGCTTTGAATGACAAAATGGTCCCTTGCTGTAATGCTGTCTGTAGGTTAAGGTATCCTGTTAGACAAACTTTTAAATATATATATGTATAATCAGGAGCTTGCAAGTATTTTTGAAACTTTTTTTTTCAATTACTATGTACTTGTAAATGTATTATAAAGACAATCTAAGTTTTGATAAAAAATATGGGGTTTACCGTGTCTCAAAACAAAATCAAAATAACTATTATTAAAACATTAAATTTGAATTGAAAGGTGTTTATGTTTACATTAGTCAAAAAAATATCAAAGATAACATTAGTGTTATAAGTGAATTTGAAGAAAACTTTACTATGGAAGAACGGAATATGACTAAATTCTATAACATTCAGGGTTTTTACCAATGAAGATGGGGGGGGGGAGATTCTCAAGCTGAACAACTTTTTTATAGGGGGAAGATAATTTTTCCTTAACTTCTTGAGAATGGTGAAGCTTCTGACTTTAATGAGGACACTTTAATAGATTATTAAAAGCTTGAACTCCATGGATCCAGATTCATGTTTTCATAAAAATCTCTGAAGGCAGCAAGAACAGAAAATCCAAGTTTAATATATGAAAACCTCAGACACAACTCCAGTCAAGGCAGTGATATTTTTCTAACAAGTTGTTTGGCCTATGGAATACTTTTCCTTCGGGTGTGACAGAAGTTTAAACACTGAAGATGTCTAAAAAGACATTTTAGAAATCAATTTTGGACAGAGAAAAAACAGTTTCTAAAATTTTCAGAAAGCAAATTTTGAGGCTATGAAAAGACTTACTAGCAGTAAAATGGGGAAAAATAGTTAAAAGATGGCAAACAGATTTGAGCAATTTTAAGGAACAAACTGCTTATAAATCAGAATAGGCATGTTCCTAAAAAGATGAGATGGGCAACAGGAAAGATTAAATCTAAACAACTTACTAAAGTCATAAAGAAGAAAATCAAGGATACTTCCACAAGCTTGTGAGGTTTAAATGAGCAGGGAGAATGGAAGAAAGTCTTGTCTCAAGGACTCAAAATTGACTTTCTGAAAATTAGAAACTAAAACTTCATGTCCTTTTTATCACAATATGAAGCAAAATATCAATGTACTGTTAATTATTCAGAAATCAGTCTTCCCTAAATGTTTCCCTACTTCAACTCCTGTAACCACACTCTCATTAGTGGTTGACACTAAATCTAAAAATGCATTCTCTTTGGTCAGCCTTCTGACCATTTTACATAAAAAACAATCCTGATCACTTCAAGAAACCTCTCTGCCTCAATACTTGATTCTATACAATCCTCATTAGTATGTGTTAAAGTTAATATTTTCATACACCGAAAATATGTTTCCGATAGATACTTACCTCCTTTCAAAAATAGCTTTCCTCAATTTGTACTGCCCTCTATATGTGCAAATTTTCACTCATCACTAGCATTTATGTTCCCAACTAACTCTATATGTTTCCCACATAGTATAGCTACATTTTAGCATGTAAATAAGCATGTGACAATCCCCCACCAATAGTGACACACACTCCAAGTGTAGCTGACCCCTCTATGCAGTAGAATCCAATTTTTACTTCAAGATTAGGCAGGAAAAAACACACCAGAAGTGGGAAATGTGAGATGAGGTAAGTATCTATCAGAGATATATTTTCAGTGTAGGAAAATATCAATTTCGGATATAATATCTTTCTTCTGTTCACAAAATAGTTAGAATCACACATTGACCAGGTGAAAGACTAGTGTAAAAGTTACTTAGATGAGGCCCATTCAGAAAATATCTGAAGAGTAACCAAGGAATACGCCATCTCAGCGTAGAGGAAACACAGTCGTGGGAGACCACACCATATCTGAACCAGGTATACTCTTTACCCTTGATGAATGAATGCGTCATGACATGAGTGGAAACGAGGCACCTCTAAAACGAAAAAAGTGCCTTTCGTGTAGAATGGCTAGAGTATGTCAGACCAGAAGCGGGAGGTCAATTTCAGTCCAAAAACGGCGGCACCAAGATCAGATCAATCGGTCCACGGTAGGTGGAGGGTCCTCTACCATTCAACTCAGGAACCAGAATGGAGGAAGTACTTCCATTCCAAGAACCCAGGTCATCATGTGTGCATATCCAATTTGACCACCACCTGTACCCCCATGGAACCAACATCTGGAAGAAGGTAGGAAGGTGGAAATGTAATATAGAGGGTAATCTCCAGTCCAAAACTGTGCGCTATTGGAACTGTATCGTATGGTCCACAGTAGGAGAAGGGGCCCAGCCCTCTCACATGTCAAGACTTATATAGACTGGTCTGGCTCCAACCAACTCCATCCTAGGAACCAGCATCCATGTGGTGGTAAGAAGGAGGATTCCCAGTTCGAGGGGAGAACTGCATATTGGAATGTGACAGAAAAATCCAGTCCACACCATACAGCATCTGGAATCATACATCAAATCTGCAGTAGGAGAATATTCACACCACCTTCACTGGCAGAACACTACTGTCCTAATCTCAACTGAGTGGAATTGAGCACACTCAGGGAAAGCCTCCATGGTCCACCACCCCAGCAGGTAGAGCTGGTAGGTGGTAAGGACTCTCATACACCACTATAAAAAAAGGGGGGAACACACTGGAGAGTCCAGAGGAATGCAACACCAGAGAAAGTGTAATGGGTGACCACAGAAGCCTATTTTGGAAAATAGACGATATCCAATTTGTATAGTCAAGGGAGTGGCAGGAATGTGCAGCAATCCCTTCTGGTTTACAGAAGATGGATATGGAAACTCAACTTTACTAAAAATAAATGGCCTGAGATCTCTTGGATGTTGCAATATGCTTCCCAGCCCAACAGGGAAGCATCGGTACAGATACACATCCAGTCGGGGAGGAGGAAGAGGGGACACCAGCCATTGGGCAGAAATCCCTTCTGCTTTACAGAAGATGTATAAAGAAATTCAACTTGACTAAAAACCAATGGCCGATATCTCTTGGAAGTTGCAATATGCCTCCCAACCCAACATGGAAGCATCAATACAGAAACACTTCCGGTTGGGGAGGAGGAAGAGGGACAGCAGCCATTGTGCTTTCCCTGTCTGGTGACCAGACAAAATTGGTCTGTAGAGAAGGAGGAAGGGATACCGGGTAATCCAGGGGATCCTTGGTGAGGTTCCAATGATTGTGAAGTACCAACTGAAGAGACATCATATGAGCAGGACCAAAGGGAATAAGGGCCTCCTAGGACATCCAAGTCCCCACAAGAGAAAGAAATTCTTGCTCAGGTAGAAAAGATGTGGATTGATCTTTCTGAATCATAAGCTCCAAGGAAAGCAATCGAAGGGATAAAGCTGGGCCCAAATGAGATGGGAATTGAGGAATACTCCAAGATGAATGAGGTATTGAGTCAGTGTGAGAATGGATTTTTCCACGTTGATTAGCCAACTCATCCAAACAGCTTCCCTAAGAGAAACTGCGTGCTGATAGAAGAAACCAAAAGCGAAGGAGCTATAAGAAGTCAGTCGTCCATGTAGTGATGGAAATTAAGTCTGTGCAAAGGAAGAAGTCGGGTAAAGGCCTGGACCACCCAACAAAAAAGGTACGAGGTTGATGAGGCCAGCCCAAAAGGGAAAGCCCAAAACAGATATACACATTCTCCGTGGACAAAGCAAAGAGAAAAATGGGATGCAGAGTAGATGGGAATATGAAGTTAAACATGTGACATGTCAATCTCCATCATCCGAAGACCTGGAATAAAAACTCATTGAAGAGACAGGAAAGGCTCCATGGTGAACCGAGGAACTTCCATGCAGCAGTTCAGACTAGAGGGGTTGATGAGAGGGCATCAATCCCCAGTCTTCTTGAGGACTACAAAGAGACAAGAACAGAAACCTAAAAGAGTAGGAAGTACTGGTTTTATAACACTCTTGAGAAGAAAATCTCAAACCACTGTGGAAAGACATTGGCTGCAAAGGGGATCCTGAGGAGGGGGAAGGAAACAGGAAAAGGTAATAGGAGTAATATTAGCAACTATAAAATACTGAGGAAGAGAGATTTCTTTAAGTAATTCAAGATAGTTTTCTACACAAAATAATCAGAAAGCCAACCATGAATGAAGGGGATGTCATTCTAGATTTATTAATCAATGTCAAGAATGTGGTTGCAAGAGTTGTGGGAAACATTTGTGGAAGAGTGATCATTGCATAATTAGATTTGATGTTTTGCTGTATGTTGAAATTAAAAAATGAAATGAAAGTTTAGTTCCTAATTTTCAGACTATTAAGACAAGATTTATAGTTAGGGAATCAAGATAAGTTAAATGGTGACGTGGAAAAAATTGGGGAAATTAAAAAACTGCTTTTAATTCAAAACAGGCATGTTCTTAAAAAGAGGAAAACGATAACAGGAAAGAACAAACAAAGTTGTCTTACTAAAGGCATAAACGAGAAAATCAAAGATAAATGCCAGAAGTTTAAACTGATTGATAAATTGGTAGATTCCCATAACTATAGGAAAGCTAGATATTTTGTTCAAAAAAAAATTAGTAAATCCAAAAGAGCTTATGAGAAACATCTGGCTAATAATATTAAAATTAACAGCAATGGTTATCTTAAATAAATTATATATAAGCAAAATGATAAAACAGGGATTGGATCCTTAAAGGATGCTGACAGCAAGGTGTTTGTTGAAGACTGTGAAATGTCTTAGCTTTTAAATATCTTTTTCTGTTTTATAAAAGAAAATAGTAGTGGTATTCTTGACCCTAAACATTCTATGGTAAATAATGGAATTGATTTGAATCTTGTAAATATTAATTTCCTGGTGGTAAATAGGAAGATTAAACTACAATAGTTTTTAACCCATATATTTATGCATGCTAGACATCATTCCCACCTGTACCTTTATGCTAATTACAGTAATGGAGAAAACCCTTCCATGAATAATAAAGGGTTAAAGGATGTCAAAGGTCAAATAGGAAGATTAAACTACAATAGTTTTTAACCCATATATTTATGCATGCTAGACATCATTCCCACCTGTACCTTTATGCTAATTACAGTAATGGAGAAAACCCTTCCATGAATAATAAAGGGTTAAAGGATGTCAAAGGTCAAATATACGAGCCTTTCTTTTTAATTTTAGTAAGTCAACAGAAGGTGATCATCCTTAGGACTTAGAAAAAGATTAGTTAATTGAACAGTACAGTGGTTGAATGAAATAAATCAAAAGGTAGTAATTAATGGATCCCAGTGTAAATGGACCTTTATTATTCTGAGCGAGAGGTGAAGGTCCAACTTCACTGTGGTACTTGGGTCGGGTGGCATTGATCACAGCCAATCTCCCTCAAAACGATAGGAAAATTATTACTGCCCTGTGGGTCACTGTCAAGCGAGAGAAGAGTAAAGGGGAGCAGATAGATAGATCAATGGCAGTAAAAGACTGACTAGGTGCATGAAAATAAGTATAAGAGGAAGTATTGAAAACAAAAAGGTTGTGATCTGAGATCATACGCTCCAACCCTCCCATCAATATCAACACCACCCCAGAGGGGATTGTGTCCATTAAATTCTCCCAGGAATAAAGAGGGAGCAGCAACTGTTCAATGAGAGCACCAAGGTCTGATTGATCATAACTCTCTCCAGGAGACAAGTAGAGAGAACAAAGAGTGATGGTATGACCCAAGGAAACACAGATGGCTACAGCCTCCAAGGGTATCCACATGGAAAGATCATAGATACAAGCTACTAGCACTAAAAATACTCTGATCCGAGGTTTAAGATAGTTAACTTATGAAGAGACTCGGAGAGCTTTAAACTTATTTTCTTTTAACTTAAGTACAGAAGAACTGGAGGTAACTTGATTCAAATATTCAAAATTATGAGGAATTTGGATAATCTTTCTATGGGTTGTCAAACCAAGTATGAAATGAAAAGCCTGGAAATATATATTTGTGAATTAGCATTGTTATAAGTAATACTGTAATACTAATAGGTTTAATTTAAGCCATGGAAGCCTAGATGCTGGTTTCTTTTTGGGTAGAATTTTGTTATTGTTTGGTTATAACTGATTTATGGAATAATGAAACATATGGACAACAAAGGACAATTTGGTCCTTCAACATTTCAAGGCTGTTCTTGTACAGCATTGGAAAAAATTAAAAATTTAAACACATCCTTTACTTCTGAGGAAAACATTATTATTTCCTCTCAAACTCCTGTAATGTGCTAGCCACCACTACTGCCCGTAACAGCTCATTCTATAAGTTAATCACCCTGTTAAAAAAAAAATAAAAGTTATAACTGAACCTAGCTTGTCATATCAAGTATATATTAAACATATGACCCGTTGTCCTGTTATCTTCACAATATAGAATGAAGAAAACAGAGGTTTGGCTGATGATGCAGTACTTTTGTTGTAATATAGTATTATACTCATAAACTTGTTGTGTTAACTTATTCTATAGTATAGATGAAAAGCTATATTTCAAGTGGAATTTTTTTTATATTAGTCTTGTTGTTTAGCTTTAGGCTAGGAGTCAAGTAAATTTTCACTCCTCCGTTTTGCCTTTCCTTATGCTTTAACTCTTTAGTCTTTACTTCAGAGTAACAGTAACAGTTAAATTTCTAATAAGTTTTAATCTTACTTTTAGGGGCGGTGACTCCAAACATTTGTTACGTTACTTAACTTCTGCTGTTTTCCAAATCTATTCCAACTCCAAGTGACTTGATTATGATACACACAGATACTAAGATAGTACTAGTAGTTGCGTTGTTCATCTAATCGGAAGTAATCACAAATTAAGTAAACTAAATTGATAAGTTTACTTACACGTTACACAGAAAATAGGCACTGCCCAAATTATTTCAATATGTAAAGCAAAAGAAAACTTCCTGTTTTATCGGTATTCCTCGACGATCTCACCGAGCCACCATAGTTCACTTGATAGCTTTGACGTCACATTTATTTGTGTTGAACTTGAGTCTTGGGCTTATGAAAACTGAAGAGGATTTAGTGTGGAAAATCGTGTGATAATTTTTTAATTACGTTCGTATTAATGTGCTACAAACATAGTTAATTTTTTTAATTAAAAAGGGGGAGAAAAGACAAACTAAAAATATATTCAATACGATTTTCTTATTACTCTCCAATTTTCTATACACAACACATATTTCACCAAATCACAATACATAAGTGAAAGTTTCATTGTGCAGATACTTCTACATCTCCCGTGAATAATATTGTTACGCCTCCAGTCGTTACTTAATTTTCCGTAAATTCGTTCCGAC